TACCTTCAACTTTTAGCGCCGTATATGGGAATGTCCACCGTTGTACGATTTTAGGACGTGAGTGCCGGAGGTGCGAAGTTTTGCTCAAAATCTGCACTTCGCGTCATTCAGGCGGTCATCTACAATAACTGGGTGTGCTGAAGACTTAGCTACCTCCAGCTGGAAGACAACAGTCATGTTATAGCCGAGCTTCGCATACGGCCGCATCTTACTAACAGAGGAAAATGCATTACGGCAGTCCCAGCACAATACATATTTTCATGTCCCTGGTAGTCAGTTTCACAATAAATTTGCTGCTTTCACACCAATAGCTGGTGCTTTTCCGGCTTGTTTGAACTGTTCCTCGAATTTTGCGTAAACTATTGCACGGAACATTTCGTAGCATCGGCCCTGCAACGATAACGGGTTAAGCCCGGAAGGCAAATTAGATTGGCACGTCTAGAATCAAGTTCAGCTAAGCTGTACTTCATTTTGCGCATGAACCCAACCGTGATGTTCCTTGCATCGCAGTCTTCGCGATGCATAGCTTCCCTGTGCACCATCCACTGACGGGCCAGGACGACCAATAACCCGTAGAGCAAGCAGTGTGCGCTCCAGTAACTGCGGTAACATCTTAATTACTCGGTGTTGCGTCCAATGTTCCTAATTTACAGTTTGTCAAAAAGAAGAGGATGGAGCACGAAATCAGTCGAAAAACCGCTATTTTCGTGCATAAGGGATTGATTTCGCCACTAAGGTAACCAGTCCGTCTGTAGTCCGTCCACTTTTATCAGTGGGAAATTGATACTGGCGTATATCAAGGAGAGAAACCCGCTATCAGTTTGCTTCTAAGAAACCTTCAATAAAGAAAGCCATCGAAACTCACCATGGTATATATGTGTACTAGTGTCCGTCCGTCCCTATATGCGCACGCCTGTGTTTGCGTATGCATATCTGCGTTTGTGTGTGCGTACGCAGGTGCATGTGTGTGCAGATGCGTATGTTTGTATGTGCCTGAGGTACGTGTGCATGCATATACACATGCACGTGCGTGTGGGTGTACGTGTTTGCATATATGCGTATGTGAGCGTGTTTGCGCGCATCTGAAATTGGTCCTGTAATGGAGTGTTGAAGTAACTGCATTACCCTGCGATGATTCAAAACTCTAACATCACTCGTCTAATTTTATTGGATCTCGAGCCGTGACGTTAAATGTATGAGAGAAAGCGAATTCGAAGCGTGTGA